CCTGCAGGGGTGCGGTGGGACTTCGCCATCCCGCCCGCCAGGGAAGGGAGGCTGGCGGCGGTGGGGCTGGCCTGTGAGGACAGCGGCGAGCGAGGCGATGAGGATGGGTGCCTGCTCATCTTATTGAAACCAATGACTCCCCTTCCTGCCAAACCAATGCCAGGGGAGCTGGGAAGCTGAAGGACTTTGCTTATGCCTGTGAAAGTACCAGCCGAACAGGCTGACTGGCGAGTGGGGGCCTGATGAGGGTGAATGTCAAGGGCTGGACAGAGGCGGGGTGGGGGTGGGGAAGAGTGCTGGGCTTGACAGCAGTGTCCTCAGCCTCTGAGTGGCTCTCTGGGCCTTACTCTTTACAGTAGGGACAGTGGAGAGAGTCAACCCGCTGGCACAGACACTGGCCAGTCAGAAGGAAGAGGCTTTGTTGCTCCAGGTCCCAGCTGCACCTGGCCTCAGCCCCGCAGCTGTTGGGTGGTAGCGGGACGGGGAGGACTTGGGGAGGGCCAGGGTGCGGAGTAGGGAGAGAGGCCTCGGGGAGCTCAGAGCAGCCCTTTCCCTAGCAGTACAGGCCTGTCTCAGAATCGAACAGCCAGTGTGGCCAGACTCCTGCATACGTCTGCTGTAAAACGCGAGAAAGGCAGATTCAATTCTCACTTCGAGTGCATAAGAATCACCTGGGAGCTTGTTGAAAACACAGATTCCTGGTTCCCACCTCGAAACTACCGAACACACTCTCTGGGGCCCAGGTGCGGCCCACTACGCTCCTGAGACCGAGTGCCCGGGCTCAGCTGATCCCTAAGGATCCAGCTGTAAGTTTCCAGGGGCTTCCTGGGAACTCAGAGAGATGAAGCCCAGCACACGGACTCTAGGGCAGCGTTCTCAATCTGTGGGTCGCAACCCCTTTGGGGGTCGAACGACCCTTTCACAGGGGTCACCTAAGACATAACAGTAGCAAAATTACCATTATGAAGTAGCAACGAAAGTAACTTTATGGTTGGGGGTCACCACAACGTGAGGAACTGTATTAAAGGGTCACGGCATCAGGAAGGTGGAGAACCACTGCTCTAGGGGAACGTGCTCAGGTCAGGTGCAGGTCATGGGACCGAATGAAGCCCTGGCATGTCCATTTGACTGAAGTAGCCTTGGCCCTGACCCAGCCCCGCCAGATTGCTGCGGCTCAGGAGGGCAGGCCTGGTGGGAACAGACCTTCTGAATTTTCAAGAGAAGTTGGAAGTCAGTGAGCCACGTACTGTGTCCTGCCTCTCGCTGCGTCACAGGTAGGGCACTGCTTTAAGTCCGGCTCCAGAAGCCGTGTCTATGGGGCGGTGAAGGGTAGAGCAGGTGTAACTGGCCTGGCACGTGGAGGGGAGGAGACAAGCCCCATGTGACGGTCTGGATGCTGCTTAAGAAATCCACTTCCTCAAGTGTGGACCCCAGAACCTGTTCTCAGCTGGCTGTGCCCTCCTTCACCTCAGATGTGCCCCCGTCGGGGCCTGCTCCCAGCTGGCTGTGCCCTCCGTCACCTCTCAGATGTGCCCCTGTCTGCCCTCAGCTGGCTGTGCCCTCCTGCACCTCTCAGATGTGCCCCCATCGGGGCCTGCCCTCAGCTGGCTGTGCCCTCCTGCACCTCTCAGGTGTGCCCCCATCAGAGCCTGGCCTGCCCTCAGCTGGCTGTGCCCTCCTGCACCTCTCAGATGTGCCCCCATCAGAGCCTGCCCTCAGCTGGCTGTGCCCTCCTGCACCTCTCAGATGTGCCCCCTTCGGGGCCTCCCCTCAGCTGGCTGTGCCCTCCGTCACCTCAGATGTGCCCCCATCGGGGCCTGCCCTCAGCTGGCTGTGCCCTCCTGCACCTCTCAGATGTGCCCCCGTCTGCCCTCAGCTGGCTGTGCCCTCCGTCACCTCTCAGATGTGCCCCCGTGCCCCCGTCGGGGCCTGCCCTCAGCTGGCTGTGCCCTCCGTCACCTCTCAGATGTGCCCCCTCTGCCCTCAGCTGGCTGTGCCCTCCGTCACCTCTCAGATGTGCCCCGTCTGCCCTCACAGCTTTCCTAGTGCTGAAGTGCCAGGTCTGGTCACCGGGCGAAGGGGCGCCCTTCCTGGGGACTCTGAATCTTAGCTGGGGGGACAGGGCTCTCACAGGGTGGAATGTTTGGTTCAGACGCGAGGTGCTAGGGCTCTCTCAGGGATCCCTGGAATGTTCACAAAGGAGTGGATTTCTCTGAGTATGAGAGAACTTGCCTGGGTCGCTCCATTTAAACTCAGGTGCCAAATGCATCCTCCCCTGCTTGGGACCCCTTCTCCACCCTTTCTCTGTCTGACTCTTACTTGTCCTCTAGGACTCAGCTCAGATTGTGCTATGACCTCCATGGCGAGGCTATAACAAGACTATGCTGGTCTCCTCCTAACCCCACAGCCCGGGGCGTGCCCTTGTTTTGACGTTCTCACTTGGAGTGTCAACGGCTTGCTTCCTTAGAAACATTAGTATTTGTGAGGCGTTCCCTCTGAGCCAGCATAGCTTTAGTCACTTCATCATATCATCTCACTTAATCTCACAACAGCCCAGTGAAGTTGGCACTGTCATCCCTTCTAGTTAAGAAAGCAGGGCTCAGAGAGGCTAAGCCGCCTGCCCAACATCACATGGCTGGCAGGGGTAAATGAGGACCTGAACCTGGTCTCTGTGCATCACGTGCAACCACAGCACCGTGCTGCTGCCGCAGCCTTAAGTCAGCACCTGGGTTCACGCAGCCCAGTCCCCGAGTTGGGCTGTGAAGTGAGGCACCTTGAACCCGGGGGGTGGGCAGCTATCACGCTTGCTCTGCCACTACCTGTGGCTACTCTTCAGGTCTCAGTGTCCTCAGCTCTGAGGACACTCATCAGGTTAGGGTGGAGGTCACCGAGGTGCCTGGTGCCAGCAGTGTCTGAAACATGGTGAGAGAAATGACCAGAGCGCCCGTGAGTTCAACTCTTACTTGGAAATAACACCCTCCTGCCCCTTTCGAATCCTCGTAAGACCCCACAGACTTGGGGTTTGGTTTGATGCTGGACAGGGGTGAAGAGGTTGGATGGAGTGGGGTGGCCAGCCTTTGGGCTTGTTTCTAGTTCTGAGAGAGGTAACCCTACAGAGAGAGTGGCTTCATTGGGAAGGCATGGAGTGCGTCTCTGTCACACCCAAACAACCTGCTTTTCAGCCCCCACATGAACTGAACCCATTGCTGCGGAGTGGGCCAGTCATGTCCTAGGCCTGCCACTCTGGGTGTAGATTGCGCAGCTTATCAAGGCTGTTTACTTTGGGTAAAGAGGAGGCGTAGGAGCTCATCGGGACAATCATCTCACGTCTCCCTGCCCCGTGACTTTCCCGTTTCTCCACGTGGATTATTCAGCTCCGTGCGGCATGGCGTCGGGCCTGCTGCTGCTGTGGGTGCACACGGGTCAGACGCAGGTCGGACAGACAGGTGCTGCTCCACGGCGGAACTGAGTTTGTTTTTGACGTAAGGCCTGGAAAAGCCTGTGACCACTCACTATGTCAAGTGCGTAGGCGGGTATGTAAAATGTCTACGTTTTTATACGGGGATGTTGAAGAACTGGGAGTTCCTCAAGAAGGGGAGAGTTTGCCCTTTGAGGTGGCGTCCAGCCATAGAGCAGATGGCACTTGCGCGTCGAAGTGCCCGCACGGATGGACCCAACTGGAATGAGCATGAACGGCTGTCTGCCGGCTTCGCCGCAGCTCCCCGGGAGCCCGCTCCCCGTTTACAAAGCTCTGCCTGGGCGGTCCTGCTCCCCCAGCCCCTTCCTAGTGGGGTCACCTAGTTTTGCAGACTCCGCCCTATCTTCCTCCACCTGTCAGGAACGTCAAGACCCATCTCTCCTCTTTGGTCTTTTTTGCTGATGCTTTTTTCCAACCCTCTCTCTCTCATCACCTCCCTGCTGTCTCTGTCTCCAGCATTTTCCTCCCCCTCCTTCTTTTCCTCCCCCTTGCCCTCCCCAGCCTCCTTTGTCCAGTCGCTCTGAGAAGTGCCCCCACCCCAGCCGTGGGCTGGCCTCTTCTCACGGACCCTGCTGCCCCAGCCTTTGATCGGTGAAACCGCTAGTCTGCCCGAATGAGGAGGAGTCAGGGAGTCAAGATCGCTGCAGTGCGAACGGAACGTCTATGCGAACCCAGGCCCCTCCCGACAAGCTCTGGAAGCCGCAGGCTCGGGCGAGTGGCACTGCGGGGCCAGGATGAGCGTCCACAGCACCCCACCCGCGGCTTCCTGCTCCTGCCTCTCGCGAGAGTAAGCGACTGCGGGGCCAGGATGAGCGTCCACAGCACCCCACCCGCGGCTTCCTGCTCCTGCCTCTCGCGAGAGTAAGCGACTGCGGGGCCAGGATGAGCCGTCCACAGCACCCCACCCGCGGCTTCCTGCTCCTGCCTCTCGCGAGAGTACGCGTGGGGAAGCTGCAAGTGGGATAATCTTTCGATGCTGGGTAGTCGGCGTTCTCTCTGACCTTGTTCGGAGCAAGGCCTTTGGTTTTAGAGGGTTCCAGAATGTTTCAAGTATCCATCTCACACCCTTCCCGGAAATTTCCCCTTGGCCGCCAGGATTGTGACTCTTTGGAGGGAAAAGATACGCGGCTACCAATGGCCAGAGCACAGGCCCCATGCCGAGCACATGGTGGCGAGGTCGAAGGAGTAATGCCAACATCCCCCACGGTGACACCCCTGGATGAAGCCCCTTTTAGGACACCATAGAAATTCTACATAGAACGCAGGACAAGAGGGCACACACTCCAGGCTGGGAACAGGGTGGGCAGGACGGTCTCCCACTCTCTGGTCCGAGCAGTGGGCCTTGCTATCGGATTCTTGTTTTGGAGGCCACCCAGCCTCTCCTCCCACGCAGGGCAGGAGTCCCTGCTCCCACCTTTCCTTTCCTGGAAGTAAAATGGGCAGAACAAGGACCCAGGCTCAAGTACCCACAGAATGGCAGGACACCCTCAGTGGAGGCAGACTGTATTTAAAAGCAATTCACCTCTTTGGGGTCTAGGAAAAGCCACCTGTTGATTCATTTGCTGGGAAACACGCTCTGTGTGGCTGAGGCAGTGGACATTGGGGTCACGGTCTTGCCGAAAGTTGGCTTCCTCCGGGGGTCGGTCTGCTGTCCGGAATGGCAGCCGCTTCGGTGGGCGAAGAGGGTGGTCATCTCTGGGCCCAAGGGGGCAGCTTCAGGGTGGGATCCCTTAGGGGTGGCTGGCTGTTCAGGCTTTCCAGAGGTGGTGTGTTTGGTGGGAGGAGGGCTATAATTCTGAAATCTCACGGTCTTGACTTGCTGCAAGAGAAAGAAGAGCAAAGGGACCCAGGTGAGGTGGGGGCTGTGCCGTTGTCCCCTGGGACTGTGTCTCCACACTGGTTCCTACCTGTAAGCCTCATTCATTCAGGAAATAAGTGTGTCTACTGAGCATCGTGCACTCTGTGAGGAGCTGTGGATCCAAGAATGAACAAAACGGGGGTGTTGGGGGTGACTATAGATGCTGAATGCAGGACAGTGTGAAACTGCTCTGAGGAGGGTAGTCAGGGAAGGCTTCCTAGAGGCAGAGCTATTTAAATTGAGAACTGAAGAACGATTGGGAATTGTGTGGAAGAAACTGGCAGGCCTACCCATGAAAGGGCCTGAGGCCAGAGGGTGTGATTTCTTCTAGAAAGTGTCAGTTCACCTTCCCCGTCTCCTCTCCGCTGCCATGAAGGCCTATCTCAAGGCTACGGCTTCCTGAGGCCTCCCCTGCGGATCCCCCTTAGCTCCATTAGGGCCCGGCAAGTCCTCAGAGCACTTTGCAACTGGACACCTGGGGGCTGAATTTAATCCGCAGGATGTTTGAGCATTTTAGTTGCCAACCCAAAGATTGGGAGAGGGCATATTATAATCAGTCTTTCGCATGTCCCTTTGAAAAATCAGAGATCTGGCAGGCTGGGCCTGGGCCCTATTTCAGCATCAACTGGCTGGAGCCGATTATCAGTCCCTCTCGAGTGGGAGGTGTGTCTCCTGTTGGCACAGGCTCGCCCCTCCTTCCCCCACTCCTCCTAGTCTGTCATCTACCTGCCTGGCCCGTGGGTATTGGCTTCAGTCAGTCCCTCTCAGGCTTAATAAGGTGTTCTGTGGAGTTGCTTAGGAATGATTTCTTTTTTCCATGAAATTTGGTCTTAACGTCCCCCACTGAGATTCCAAGTTTCTTCATACTTTAGACCTTGACCATATCTAGCCGAGAACTGGCACTTACTGGATGCTTATAGTTTGAAGGCTGTGTCTAATAGCTTGGGAGAACGGGCAACTGGGGCCTGGAAAGTTTTGAATTATTTGAGAACTATAATTCAGAGTAAAGGTCTCGACGTTTCCATCAGTCAACACTGGCTTGTTCCAAATGCCTCTCTCTGGAAGCTTCCAGCTGAGTGTCAAGAGCATGCGTTTTGTATTAGATATGGCTTCCACTCTGGACACGTCTGTGTGCCAGCTGGGAGCCTTTGGGTGACGTGCCTTAACTCCCTAAGCCTCCACTTCCTCATTTTAAAGTGGGGGTGACAATAATAATACCTTTCGCAGGGTTGTTGTCAAGATTAAATGAGATAGAACATGGGATGTACTCAGCACAGTGCCTGCCAGGGCATTATCATTCTAAAAGTGTGTAACAAAGGGCAATAAGTGTGTAACATCCCCTTTCCGGTTAAGGGGGAATGTGTGGCGGTGGTGGTGATGCTGTTTTTGTCCTTAATGTGACTTCCTCCACCTACCTCCCTTCCTGCTTCACGGATGTGGTTGAGAACATAAGCATTTTACAAAATCTCGTATGCCTTGCAGTGGGAAAAGCCCTGAAGTAGAAGTTAGCAGATCTGACCTCTGCCACAGAGGTCAGTGACAGTAGTTGGAGTTGTCATAATTCAGTGTGACCTTCTCCTATACCATGGGCGATTAAGTATCAAGCCCTCTGAAAGCACTGTCCCCATTTTATTTTACTTAATCTCCAGTCCAATCCTACGAGGCCATTACTATCCTCACTGCTGTTCTACAGATTAGGCGGGGAAAAAGTCTCAGAAAGGTGGCGTGTTTTGGCCAAAGTCACCAGCTAGCAAGTTGCAGAGCTGGGATTCGAATGCGGATTTGTCTGAGGCCGAAGCCATGTTCTTTCTGAGCCTCCTTGGGCCAGACGGGAGTATGTTTGAACTCTCTGGGAAGCCGAAAGGTTGAGCAGCACACCCAGCACGGATGCGAGGGTGTGCAGGCGGCCAGTGACGGCTCTTCTGAGTCTATAATTTAGGTCCCTTGTCCACTAAGACTCAATCTCAGGAGCTGGGACACTGGGTCATGTCAGGGGTCTGAAGAGTCATGTCCCCCAGCCCAAGGTCAGCTCACTCCTACCTTTTCGCTGCCATTTCTGGAGTTTTCTGGTTTCACCAGGATCGATGGGGGGGCAGATGCAGGCGGCTTGGGTGGAGGCTCACTCTTGATGGGGATTTCCTTGCCTTCCATGATGATGGAGCTGGCAGCCGAGTGGATCCTGGTGTCGCTGCCCCTGCTGAGGCACGTGAGGGCAGGCTCCCCCGTGGGCGTCGGCTTGGGGCCCATCTCCGCCACCACCGTCAGGGGTGAGTTGGGGGCCACCTGTGGCTGGTGGAACTGGAACTGCTGAGGCCGAACGACCATGGTGGGGCTGCGTCTGAGGGAGCCCACCACCAGGGTGGGGATGCCCGACTGCACGGGTCTCTGCAGCGATCCATCTGGGGAATCACGTGATGGAGGTGTCAGCAGGGGGCGTGGCCACAGGGCGGGGCGGGTTGGGGCTGGGTTCGCAGTGTGTCCTGATATCCCAGAATAGTTCAGGGCTTTCTCAATTTGGCTGCACGCTCATTCTCTCAGGGTCTTTCAAAGGTGACCTTATTCTTTTTTTAGTGCCGTTAGCTGGTGCTGGCAGTAAATAACTGGCTAGCTGGATGTGGGGCCGGGTGTGGGAAGGTATGTTACTTCCATTTTCTCTCTCTCTCTCTTTCTCTCTCTCTCTCTCACACACACACACACTCCTGCTCTCTCCCTCCAGACCTTGAAGATGGAGAGTGAAGAAAGACCTAGAGCCAGCTTCACAGTGAGAAGCAAACACAGAGGCGTGCAGATCAAAGAGGAAACCAAAGACAGAGAACAAAAGAAACAGAGAAGAGAAACTGAGGAACAGCAGAGCGAGTCAAGGGAGAGGGATGGGAGGCAGGGAGAGAGGGAGAAGAGGGGAGAGGACCAGCTCCTGGAAGACAATTCTCACAAAAGCTTCCACTGTATGGTGGTGGGACGGGCTTTCATCTGGGGTGGGGGGGAGGAGGGCAGTGGGATACTGAAGAGCGTGTGTGCCAGGCAGGGGCGCCCCCAGATGGAAGCAGGTCTGGAAAGGCTACTCCAGTGTTGGGGTGTGTGGGGACGAGCCTTCTAAAGTCCCATGAGAGCTACCCCCAGGGAGCCTGGGGCAAGTCAGTCACCTCACCTCCCTGCACCTCAGTCCCCTCATTTGTAAACCGGAGCTAATAACAGCACCCCAGAGGGCTGGTGTGAGGGTTACATTTTGTGATGCTTGCAAAGTGTTAGGACAGTGCCTAGGACCTAATAAATGGCCCATGTTTGTTAGATATCATTATTTGTGGGTAAAAAATAGCAAACACTAAACATGTGAAGTCCAGGAGTTTGTCTTTCCCTTCCCCTAAGCTCATTTTTTTTTTTTTTTTTGGTTAATGGAGATGGTCCCCTTTAGTAAAAGGAAGTCCTTCCTTCCCCTCACATCCTCTGGACACAGGAGATCCTCATCTGTTGGGAATAGCCCTGGAGGGATTCGGGGAGTAATCGGGAGCTCACTGCATTTGGGCAGGTGGCAGAGACAGCCCGAGAGCCCTGTGGCCATCTCTCCACAAGGACCTCCCAGCATCAGGGCCGCAGGTGGTGTCCAGTCAGGGAGGACACCTGTGTGTCAGTCATTTGTGTTCAGCACAGGGGCCCACGTCAAGGCCATGCTCCGTGGTGGCTCTCCATGAAGCCGGATGTGGACATGAATAGCAGGGTGCTCACCACTCACTATCGGCCTTCTCAGCCGCTGCAGGCAAGCCAGACGCCGTTTACAATCTGACCTTTGCACGTAGACATTTATTCCCCCCGTCAGCCCTGTGAGGTCATTCCTGCTGTCATGTCTCCTTGCTCTGGGGAGACTGTTAGTTTGACCAGCCTCACCTTGGGAAAGGAGAGAGAGAAAAAGCCTCTGGGATCTGGGAAGTCAGAGCGGCACTGGGCAGACGTGGCCTCAGGCTCCTGGAAGCGTGTGAAAAATTGATTTTATGCCTTATTTATTTATTTATTTTGTTTGTTCCTGACTTCCAAGAGAGCGAATGCTTTCTTATTACTCGTGCGTACAATGCAAACAGTCACAGCCCCAAGCCAATCGAGATGTACCCTGGGAAAGGAGGGAGCTGGGAAAGGGAGTGTGAGCAGCTGCCAGTGGGAGGCGCTGCTGGGCATCAGTGGTCACGGCTGAGTCTCAGTGGGCTCCCGCTCTGGAGGGAGCGAAGGAGAGCTGCCTAGTGGCAGCAGCAGTGATGATACTAATAAAATGATAATACTGGAGTCAGAGCTAATATTTCTCGAGAGCTTGTTACAGGCCAGGCGCTGCGCCATCAGTCTTATGAAAGACTATCTTATGAAATCCATACAATAACCCTGATGAGGTTGGTACTGTTTTTCTTTCCATTTTACAAATGAGAAAACTGAAGACTGAAGAGGTCAGTAACTTGCCCAAGGCTGCAATGGTGGGATTAATTATTTATGTATGTGGGGGCGGAGAATAAGGTGGAGGAAGGTCCTGGAGGGAGGAGGCGGGAGGACAGTGGTGTAGAACTGAGAGGCAGGCGTGTAGGTCTAGCACGTAACCGAGGGAAGCCTGGGAGTGGGTGGAGCTAAGGCACTGAATTTCCTGGGACATCTTTCTGCATAGCACACCGTCCCACATGTTACCCTTTCGCCCAGACTAGTCTTATTATATCTTCACCCTGAATCATTTTTTAAGATAGCAGAGCCCAGTTGAAGTCAGAGGACACAGAATGAATCTACTCTACTTTGCTTGGCTCGTTGTCTTCTTCTAGAGAGGCGTATAAATAAATACAGAATCTTGCTGTTTTGCAGACCAACGGGTTTCAAACATTTTATAAAATCCCGGAAAATGAGGTCTTATGTAGAAGTTCAGTGTGTTCGGAGATAAAAACACACTGTGCTGCTACATGGCTTTTAAGGGAGAGCTGTATCCTGCCGCCACGTGTGCAGGCGGCTGGTACACGCAGAATGAAAGCAAGGTGCAGAGCAGTGTGGGAGGATGACTGGAAAGCACATATGCACATGGAAGGGAACTTGAAACTGGAGGTTAAGAATATGAAGGAGACTTACTTTTGTACAGTGTAACTTTTCTTTTTAACCTCATGCGTGTATCAGTTAAATAACAAAGTGGGATTCAGGGGCTCTTAGCACTGACTTCTCCACTTTCTTTTCCTCTCTCCCCGGCTTCCTCCCCTTGTTTTCCTTTTGGCACCCCTGAGGGGTTCCCTGGAACACAGTCTAAGCACTGGTCCAGCAAGGGCTTTGGTTGTTCCCTCTTAGAAAGAGCCAGCACCCACCCACCTTGGCTGCATTCGAATTATAGGTTGGCACTATGGGCTGCCAACATCCCAGTTAACATGCATGTGTGAAGTGACCGGAAGAGAGTGACCTTGAGTTGGTCACTCTTCATCCAGCAAAACAGCTATTTGGGAATCGTAAAAAAAAAAAAACCTTCACAGAGGCTTGTTTTAAAGCAGAATCACTTAGCTCTAGGCACGTACCTCTCTGCCACCACTTACTCTTTCTCATGCTGCCCCGTCCTTTCCGAAGAGAGTTCTGTCCTGAGGTCCCCAGGCTGGCTGTGCTCCTCACGGGGTTGACGATGGCCGTGGGTACAAAGACAGACTTGAAGGGGCGGCTTTGTCGGGGATCACCTTCTGAAATGCTGCCTTGGGAGGACACAGAAGCGGTCGATAACGTCCATGTGGCGTAGAGACCAGGGCTCCGGGAATCTAGAAAACTAGATGTCTTTCTGTGTGTGAAAAATTTTTTCAAAAGAAATAGAGAAAGCAAATGGTCAGTGACAAGTCCTATGTTAAAAAAGCATCAGCTCCCAACCATACACCAGATGTGGCTGTTCCTTACCCTCTTCCTACCCATAAATACGCTTTTCGTCGACCACATGTCAGCCAGCTAAGGAGGCCTCATCGCTACGGCTTGCTAACTGTGGGTGTGCCGCAGGGGAGCGAGGGTCTCATACATGGTCTGTGATGAGTTCACCTCGCTTTGCAGTGGTGATTCCTTGTTCATTCAGGGACTTCTCCACTCGATTCTCAACTCTTCGAAGGCAGGGATTTTATATGACTTACGTGCTCTGCAGATCTTAATTATTAATAAATGTTTGCCGAATGGCTGCCGTGGTGCTCTCTGCCCTGGAGCCAGTCATTCAGGCCAGCACACATTGAGCGCTTACTGCATGCCAGTGCTTTGCCTACATGGTCTCATGGGTTCTTCCCAACAGCCTTTCGAGGTAGGTTACTATGAGTGCTGCTATTTTATAGATGGAAAAACTGGAGATTTACAGGTACTTGCCCAAGAAACTACTAGGCTTTTGAACCCAGGTCTGGGCTGGCTCTCTGCTGTACCACTGAGCTCATCACCTGGGCTCTTACCACTCAGCAACACTACCTTCTGGCTAGTCAGAGCATTCATCATTTGGTAGCAAGGAAAACCCTGCATGCTGCTTGAAAGAAACGAGTTAAAGCAGTGAGTAGGCCCTACATGCCTCGGTCGGGCCCTAATTCTTCTCTCTTGGGATCTGATTTCTAATGCTAGTAAAGTTCTGTAAAACAGCAAGCAACCCCTTGTCCATTGTTCCCAGCCTGCAAGTCCCTGAGCCCCATGGGGAATGGCTGTCAATCTACATGCCTTTCTTGCCCTTGTACCAGTCCTACCCCAATGTGACAGCCTCTACTAAGCAGTCCATCCATCACCTTGTCACTCTGTTGATGAAATGACCTCGGCTAATTACCTGGGAATAACCAACTTGCCCATGGCCCCCGGCGCAGAGATGCCCTCCCTCCTGGTTTCCTGCCTGTCAATGCCTCCAGGTTTCTCTTTAGGTAATTTTTTCTTATTTTCCTCCGTTTGCTTTAAAAAGTGATATGTCATTTAATAACAAGCCAGGCAGGGTTGTACAAAGACGAATAAGGCATTGTGCAATGTGCCGACCTGCCCAAGACAGATGTGCAGCCTGATGCGCCAGGAGTTGACGCCAGGGAACTTTGTCCACAGCCATCAACCTGCCTCTGGTCCCTGGTGATGCAGCCAGCAAAGGGGAGCAGGCCACCCCCCTGGAAGAGTGCAGACTACACTGGAGGCGAGGGCTGGGCAGTGGAGAGACCCCCAGTACAGGCTTCCTTGGCAGAGTCTGCACCTGCCTGACTGTAAGGTGCTGGCTGCTGCAAAATGGGTTGAAAACAGGAGAGAATGGTTCCAGAACTGTTTCCGGCAGCAGCAGCAGCAGCCAGGACAAGATACAGTTTATGAGGCCCACGCTAGCTTTATTCTACCAGCCCTGTTTTTGAACAACTGGTTACAGACAGAGGTGCGAGCTCATTTCTCCAGCTCAGCACCAGGTCGATTCCAGAAACCCCCAAATCTCAAGTCCTTCATCTGACCCGGAGTCACTCTATGTCCTCTGGCAAAAGCTCTGCACTTCTCTCTGACATCAAAGCACTTTGCTCACATATATTCATGAATCCTCAGGACACCCCAGACCTGCAGACATCATGATGCTGGTTTTCTAGGTGGAGAGACAGAGGCATTGTGGGCTGGAGCGCAAGGAGCGTGCGTTGCCTCTGATTGGCTCCATTGTGCTGCGCTGAGTGTGCAGGTCCCCGTGTCCCCTTGTCTGTCTGTGCCGTGAGCACTTGAGAAGTTGCCCCGTGTTTGAAAGGGGCATTACAGATAACAGCGCTACCTTGCTCATCACTGGCAGCAGCCGCCTGGTGAGGTGGAGCTCCGATCTTGATTATTTCTATGGGGTTTTGTGTAGAAAGTTAAAGGAAGATGAGCGCTGGCTCTTGAGTCACCGGGAGGATACATGTCGGGTGAAGTTTGTGGGAAAGAGAAGTATCTTGGCTAGCTGGGCAGAAGGGAATTGCTGGGAGGGACAAGAGGGTGTGGACAAGGCTTGGAAACAAGTCCAACGGAGGCTGCTGAGGACCTGAGGCGGGAGGGGTCTGATCAGATGCTACTGTTTGTGTTCTTGCCATGAATGGTCTTCAGCGTTGCCCACATTCTTTCCTCCCTTGTTCAGGTTTTCAAGTCCCAGGAGGGAGTGTCACACTGACTGAGCCTGTCACTTAGCTGTGGTGAAGGGTTGAGGAGGAGGAGTTAATTTCCTCAGCCTCTGATAAGGGAGGAAACGTCCGCCTCCCACCAAGACTATGCACAAAAAAGGACACCCAAAGGGACGTTGGTGCTATTGAGAAGGGGTTTGTGTCCAGCCGGTGTGGCTCAGTGGTTGAGCATCAGCCCACACACCAAAAGGTCACCGGTTCGATTCCCGGTCAGGGCTCACGCCCAGCTTATGGGCCTGATCCCCAGTGGGGGGCATGCAGGAGGCAGCAAATCGATGTTCTCTCTCATTGACGTTTCTATCCCTCTCTCCCTCTCCTTCCTCTCTCTCTAAAAATCAATAAGAAAAAAAAATTAAAAATATATAGTAAAAAAAAAAGAGAGAGAGAGAAGGGGTTTGTATGAGAACGTGATAGATGTTCTGTGCAACCTGAGCTAATAGGTTCCTCCAGGAACGGGGAAGTATGTCATGGTGGCAGAGATTTCCTTGCACTCAACATGGGACAGGTTGTCGGCATCACCATCTAGCCGAGAGGGCTGGAGCTCTGGATGGCTCAGCAGCCTTTCCTTCCCTGGTAGTAAACAGCTCACTTGGTGAATCTCAAACCAAAGCCCTGGCATATTGGTCAACTCTGGTCTACCCATAGTTAGTCCCCAAACTCTGGCTGGCTCAGTTCATTCGGGGTGATGCTAATGAGAGCCATGGTTCAATTGCTCGGGGCGCCTCACCTTCGAGCCCTGGTGTTTAGAAAAGGCTGCCGTGTACCCCAGAGAGGCTGGTGCCTGTGCAGAGCTGTCTCTGCAGACAGAGAGCCACGGGGGTGAGGGGACCAAAGTGTCCAACCCACTCAGTTCCAACACGGCCTGTGTCAAGCAGCAGAAACCCAGCTGACAAAGGACAGCCTCATTCAGCTCTAAGAAGGGAGGGACTCAACCTCCCGTAGAGAAAAAGGTGAATAAGAACAGGGTGAGCTGCCTCCCGACAAACAAACTGGACACATGCCATCCACGTCCGGGATTAGTGGGGACGGGAACTTTCTCTGTGTGAGAGGCCATCAGGTAAGATGTACACACACGGAAAGCATTGATCCTCTGTCACCTAAAAGCCCTCAGGAGAATATACTGTGACAGGGAGTTGTTCTCCTTGGAAATGCTGGTTCTCTAGGAGCAAAAACACCTGTCAACATAAGTAGCACCTCAATATACGCATAGGTGCAGATGTCTGTGAGCTGGGGGTGGGTGATGGACTCAACGGCAGTCTGGTGTTGAAACTGTCAACCGTCTGACGTGCGGCCACACTGGAGGGCATGGGTCTAGGTGCTCAGGACCCAATAGGAGAACAGCCAAGGAGGAGAGGAAGGGGAGCCGAAGCCTTGAATACACTCAGTGGAATCCTACATGCTTTCTTGGGCGACCACAGGTCTGGGTTTTCCCAGGAGAGTCTGTTTACACCTGCTGTATTAAGATTGGCCCTCTCTCATCTCAGAAGTGTCCTAGTTTGGATGAGAAATTATATGGTTCCACTTATTAGGCATGGCTGATTAGAGAGCTCCTGTTAGATGCCATGGAGGAAACTGAGTTAGGGTAGGTGTCCTCCATGGTCACTTCTAGACCATTCTCCCACCCTCCTCCATGCCTCCCAGCTTCGGCTTGTGTGGTCCGACGCTACCATCGTGTTGCAATCATCATCTCTCCGAGGTCTCTCCTTCATTCCTGGAAGGTTTCAGCTCCTGGCTCACTGCCCTTCCTCCACTACATCTCACCATGGTGATCTCACCCCGAGTTAGGGCCTTAAATCCATCTCAAACCTGGGCCTCTTTCTTTTCTTTTCTTTTTCTTTATCCTCACCCAGGGCCATTTTTTTTCCTGCACTTATTTTCAAATAGAGCGGGAGGGAGAGAAGGAGGAAGAAAGAGAGAGAAACATCGACGTGAGAGAGACCCACTGAGTGGCTGCCACCCACACGACCCCAACGGGGGCCGGGGACAAACTGCAACTGAGGTACGTGCCCTTAGTGGGAACTGAACGCTGGACTCTCTGGTCCGCGGGCTGACGATCTAACCACTGAGCCAAACTGGCCAGGGCCGGACCTCTTTCCTAAATGCTAGACTTGTATACTTAACTGACATCTTTACTGGGATTACTAACAGGCATCGAGACTTAAACTGCTGCAAGCAAAGCTTTTGCTTCCCTCCCCGTCCCCCCAAACCTGCTCCTGTTTTGGTTTTTCACGTCCTTCACAGTACAAGGCAACTTCTATCTTCCAGCGACTCAAGGCACAGAACTTGGACTCACCTCGAACCCTCTATTCTTTCAACCCGATATGTGATCTGTCAGAAAACCTGGTTGTCTCTACCTGCAGAGTACAGCCAGGATCTAATCAGGTCCCCCTCCCTCAATAGCTCATGCCCTGGCTCATTCTCCCCAGGATTATGACAATATTCCCTTAGCTTGTCTCTGTGCCTCCAGCGTTTCCTCTCAATGGTTTATTCTCAAACCAGCAACGAGGGATTCTAGTTCAAGTTTAAGTTAGATTGTGTCATTCTTCTGCTCAAAACCCTGCAACAGGGTTAAAGTCACATCCATGACCTAGGAAATCCTCTGTGATCTGAGCCTCTGTTACCATTCTGACCTCATCTCTTCCTAACCTACCCCTCACTGGCTTTAATCCAGGCTTGCTGGCCTTCATGTCAGGCACACGCCTACCCCAGGGCCTTTGTTCAGGAACTTGCCGTTCCTTTGGCCTGGAATACACTTCCTTCAGAGATCGCCACGGCTCACCTCATTTCCTTCGTTCCTCCTCCTCACTTCTCAGTAAGGCCATCCCTGACCAACCTGTCAGAACTTTAATCACCCCCATACAAATTCTGTCCCCCTTTTCTGATTTTTCTCCTTAGCCCTTAGCATGAACACACCCCATGCATGACTCAGAGATCTTGTTTTGTCTGTCTGTCCCACTAGGATGTAATCTCCCGTGTGCTATGTGCATGTTGTCCCGGGGTTTTGTGCATTTTGTTCACTGGTGTTTCTCCAGTGTCTAGAAAGGTGACCGGCACGTCAGTTCTCAATAAACATATGTTGAATAAATGAAAGCATCAGCTACAGACACACTTAGTTTGCTTTTGGAGTCTTTGCAGCTTTTTAACAGAATTCCGGAACCTTCCATTGAAGGGAATAACTATGATCTTCTGCTCCGACTTTCTGCCAAATCTTTGTACACAAGCCTGGACCTATGGGAACCCAGACTCTGCCTGTACTCTTCCCAGGAAGGGAGTCCACCACCTCACCAGCTGGCCTGAGGTGCAGCCTTTTACTGAACCCAAACCTCTGAGATGTAGCCCCTGCCTTCCCGCCCCACGTGGAACACATCTCCTTCCACTCTACAGTCAATGGCGGTCCCTCGGACCCTTCTTTCTAACGTTTCATACAATAACCCCAGCTTATCGGTTTCTTCTGCGATGTGGTTGTATCTCCTCACCGTACTCGCTGCCCTCCTCCGGATTCAGTGCCTCATCTACATGAAGGTCCCCGAACTGAACACATGACTCCAGGAGTGACCCCCAGAGAGTACAATGTGATGATCACTTTCCTTGGCTTGTGACCCTCTGGTATGTCACAAAGACAGCACTGGACGTGGTGAGGGCCTCACTGCCTTGTGACAGGCTTTGCCTGGGCTGGGGTGGGGGGTGACAAACGTAGGAGGTGTCATGGGTAGTTCGGGGGTTTGTGTGCATTGTGGTTGTGGTAGGAGGTAGCTAGGTGAACTGTGGGCCTGTGAAATCAACAGGTCTGCCAGAGAATGGCAAAGGGCGGGAAATCTGTTTGGAAAGAAGACCTGCGGGGTAAACTAACATTGGACCTGGGGTGTGGCTGGACAGGAAGTGAGTGGTCTCAGTTCACGGAAACACTGCTGATGGCCCAGCATCCCGGGAAGGTTCCTGAGGTACTCTGGGTGGCCATGTGACCATCCCATTTCCCCCTTCTGCCACTAGATGCGGTGTCGAGGTAGAGGATATGAAGGGGGATTTGGGGGGTTTGTATAGAAAACCTGAAATCTAGTTCTTGGGCAGGTTGCTCAACTCTACATCAGTGTCCTCATCTGTAAAATAATGTCTACCTTGGCCATAGCCAATGAGTTAAAGAATGTGAGCGTGCTTGTGAACTGTGATGACCTAGGAAAACACAACTCTTTTGGACACACACACACACACACACAGACGTAATTTAAATTTAAATTAAAGCATTAGGAGGGTACTAAAGCAAAGGCTGTTTCTTGGCCCACACTCCAAAAGAGCATCAAATCCTTCAGGAATTCAACCCACAGAGGGCCCGGCCTAGATGACCTGACACCCTGCCGCCTGGGGGTGGAGGGGACCCACCTGAAAATGGGGATGACGTAGTTGTTGGGGAAGATGCCAACTCTCCCGGTGACCAAGGAGATGCCCTTGAGCCAGCCGTCCTGGTACTTCCCCAGGACCCTGATGCCTTCCCCCTTCTGCAGGTCCAGCTCATCGGGTCCGTGGGCTGAGTAGGAGTGCAGGGCCACAAACCTGGGGGGACAGGGAACTGGTGAAGGACGAAGGTGCACACCCCGAGGGGAGGGCAGGGAAGCAGCAAGGGCGAAGGGGGACAGAACCTTCACCCAGTGGTCAGCAGTCACAACCTGTTAAAATCAAAACCTCAGTATGTAGGGCAGATAGCAGTAGCAGAAACTGGTTGAAACAGTTCAGGGGTGGCCCCGATATCTGCCCTCTTCAGGTCCCCCCACTCCGTAGAATGCCACACAGCAGCAAGTCACTAATTTAGGCCGCATCAGCATTTGACAGTGGGGACACTGGCCTACAGGGGAGAAGGGAACTGACCAGGAATCTGGCAGAGCCGGTTGCACCCCAGACGTGTCGGCTCTACCGAGGGTGCTTGCTCACGCTGCTCGGGGGGTTACCCGAGAACACGGCTGGAAGCCTCTCCTGACAGTAGAGACCTGTTTGCCCCCCAGGAATGGCCTAGAACCTAGCTTAATATAGGCAGGGAAGGGGGCATTGGGAAGGGGGACGGGGTTAACTCTGGTTCTTTGGCGCACAGGGGAATGCAGGCTGCATGGTGGGATGGAGGGGAAAGGGCATATGGCCAAAATGTCCTCGGGTTGGAGCAGTGACTTCCCTCTCTGAAGCCCACACTGGGGTCAGGCAGGTCACATCCAGGTATGAGATGGGGGTGAAGACACTGGGGAATAGTGAGGCGGTGGAGGTGAGAATACCTGGCTGACCACAGGCATTGCAAAATAACCCACTTGGCCAGGCTGGTGTGGCTCAGTGGTTGAGTGTCGACCCATGTACCAAGAGGTTGCCAGTTTGATTCCCGGTTGGGGCACATGCCCAGGTTGTGGGCCTGATCCCCAGTGAGGGGCATGCAGGAGGTGACCAAATGATGTTCTCTCTCATCAATGTTTCCATCTCTCTCTCCCTCCCTCTTTATCTCTCTCTAAAATCAATAAAGAAAAAATATCTATAAAAAAACAACAAAAAAACAAAATAACCCACTTGGCGTGCCAGATTCGGGGGTTACCAGTATATGGCCCTCAGGTTAGACCTTAGCAAGTTCTTCTAGATTCTAAGAACTGTGAGACATTGGAGGGTTTTATGAAATGGGCTTGGGGGGAGGGGGGGTGGAGTGTTCTCATCTGCAAGTCCCCCTGCCCCTAGAAAATGCCGAATTTATTTTTCACTCATTACTAAAGGAACATCTATTTATAACCCAACATTTTGAATCTAAAGGAAGACAATAGAAATTGCTCAATACACAATTCCCCGGCAATGTTTTGGTATATAACCTTCCAGTCTCTTTCTACTTTGTAAAATAATGAGCTGGGATGATGTGCTTTGCTAATTTGTATTTTTCACCATTATTTCCATTGGCAAATTTGAAGGGTGGGGGGAGCTGTTGTCTCTCTGAATGGGCTGATTTGGGTGTGGTGATGCTCAATGGCAGAGGATGGCAAAGATGACGCCTCTGTGCCGGGACCAGGGGTGGAGGGCAGAGCTTTTTACTCACATGTTAGCTGAGTGGGAGCCGGGCAGACTGACGATGGCCGTGGAATGTCCTGGGGAGGCAGGTGTGGCGTGATACATGCTGACCTACACAGACAGAAAAGACAGCCAAGCTGAACCAGTGAGTGCCATGAGCCAGGCCCACAGCAGAGCTGCACAGAGAGCCCAGACACAGCTGGAAAGCAAGAGCCATGCCCAGGGCCACCCGTCATGGGCCGTCTCTGTGGTTTGTGGCTGTGGGAAGCGCAGGGCGGGGACAGATTGGTTTACTCCTGCGGGGGTGGGGGTGTCATGCCAAGACTATATTCCAAAAGACTGCTCAGCGAAGGCAGAGGGTGAAGACAGGGCACGTTTACAGTCGACGGCACTGCCAGACTCCGAGCCGGCCCTCCGGCCCTCCCTACCGTCTCCCAGCGTGCACACCTCCTCTGTGCAAACCTGCTCCCGGAAAATGATACGATGCCAATACTGATCGAGACCTTAACGCTTGCCAGGCAGTTTGAAGTGCTTTACAAGCAAATTTAATCTCTATAAAGGTACTGTTGTCCCCATGTTTGGATGAGAAACTGAGAGAAAGAAAGGTCACCCAACTAGTATGAAAGAAAATGTAAAACCATGTAGTTTAGTCCTGGCTGGTGTTGCTCAGTGGTTAGAGTGTTGGCCCATGCACCAAAGGGTTGCATGTTCAATCCCTGACCCTGGTCAGGGTGCTTGTGGGAGGCAACCAAACGATGTGTCTCTCTCACATTGATGTCTCTCTCTCTCTCTTCCTCCTTGCCCCCCTTCCACTATCTCTAAAAAAATCAATGGAAAAAATATCCTTGGGTGAGGATTAACAAAAAAACAAAAACCCAGGAAGTCTAGGTCCCCCCCTCCCCCCAGCCCCAAGGTTATCCAGTGACTTATGGAAGCTGAATTTGAATCTTTTTCACTTTTCCCGGACGGAAGAGGGAGCAACAAAGCTATAAGCTTCTGCAAACTATCTGCTCTCCTGGGACCTCGCCTATTATCTAACCTACTGCCTTACTTATTTCCATCTTGGCACATATCACAGACTGGGACTGTTTCCTTGTTCACCAAACATCCCTCCACTCTAAGTTCCATGAGGGCAGGGACTGTGTCTCGTTCATCACTGTATATATGTGCTCAATATATTGTTATAGCTTAAACAACAAATGAAAAGCTTTCTTACCCAGTACCTCAAGGCCTGACAGAACTCGATCCATCTCCATGGAGAATTTTACTCCATCTGGAGTAAATACATTCAGTCTGTCTTCAGTTACCCACCATAAATAATGGTCACTGTATGTGTGTGCTTTTTAGGACTGTTTTGGGGGTGCAAGTATAGTTGTGTCTGAGTGTTTGGGCAGGTGTGAATGCATTACTAGTGCTTGTGTCTCTGGCTCTCTGTGCAAGTGTGTATGTTTGTTCAGGACCCATGACAATTGTGTGTAGATGTGTGATGGCATTGGTATATTGTATGTCTGAAGATGTTCATACATGTGGGTCTATAAATGGATATGCACACATGCTGTGTGTAATGATTATGTGTATGTATGGTTGTATATATGATTGTAAATGTCTATCTGGGATTCTGTGTGCCTGTGTGTGAACTTTAGAGGTGTATGCATGTATGTATGACTATAATTTTGTGTGTGTCTGGGTTGATGGTTTTATAAATGTATGTGTGGTTGTGTATGTATTTGTGATATTATAAGAATCTAGTTATAGAATAAGAAATCATTCCAGTCAGATAATAACAAGTGTTGGTGATAACACAGAGAAACTGAAACTCATATAGTGCTGATGGGAATGCCAAATGATGTAGCCCCTTTAGAACAGTCTGCAGTTCCTCAAATGGTTAAACAGAATTACTATATTACTCAGCAAGTCCTCTCCTAGTACATACCCAAGGTCCACACAAAATTTGTACACAAACATGACAGCAACATTATTCATAATAGCCAAATGGTGGCAATAACCCAAATGTCCATCGACTGATGAATGGATATACAGAATGTGGTATATCCATACAATGGAATATTATTCAGCCATAAAAATGGAAGTATGGATACATACTGGAACATGGGTAAACCTTGAAAACCTTAAAAGAAGCCAGATACAAAAAGACTACATTACATAATTCCATTTGTATGAAATGTCAAGACTAGGCAAGACTACAGAAGTAGAAAGATTAGAGGTTTCTAGGGGCTGGGAACATATATATGGGGGTGATAATCAAAGGGTACAGGGTTTCTCATTGCAGTAATGAAATTGTAAAATTGTGGTAGTAATGGTGGTATATATCTGTGGATATATAAAAAAATCCCACTGAATTGTATACCTTGAATGCATGAACTGTATGGTATGTGAATTCTATCTCAATAAAGCTCTTAAAAAAACAAAGTGTTCCATGGTCATATATCTGAGTCTCTCTAACACTGCACAAGGTGTTCTGATCTTTGCGGTCAGATATTATCACACCAGTTCCCTCAAGCAGAGATGCAAAGGAGCCGGCTTTGAGCTCGGCAGCTCCTTTCCCGTGACCAGGCGAGGCAAATCCCTGCCAGGCTTGGGAGCTGTGCCAAGGGAGAGCCTCGTTATGCAAACCTCTAATCTTGTTTGTAGAGACTGTTGAACACTGATTAAGCAGCATGAACTTCACTTAACACCATGACTTTCCAATGTTATGTTTGAGTAAAAAGTCCTTCTGTCCATAAACACTGTCCATCTTTAGGGAGGGGGGAGAGGCCGGGCTGCAAAGCCGCCCCTCCATTGCACTGGGCTCTCTCTCCTTCTCCAGGCCTGGAGAGGGGTATGTCCTCCTCTTCGGTATGTGGAACCTGGCCAGCACTGAAATTGGTGGGCTCGTGGTGGAATTATTTCTAATATGGAATGGGGAGGGAACGGGAAGATAGATTCTCAGGTTCTGAGGTGTCTGGGAGGGGAAGGGAGAACATGAGTAGAGAAGGAGCCCGGGGGAGAGGGGGAAATAGTGGATGGCTCTGAGGGGGAGAGAAAGTGACACAGAGGCACCATGGGAGAAAGAAACAGATCCAGCCCTGGCCAGTTTGGCTCAGCGGTTAGAGCGTCGGCCTGTGGTCCGGAGAGACCCGGGTTCGGTTCCCGCTAAGGGCACGTACTTCGGTTGCAGTTTGTCCCCGGCCCTGGTTGGTCGTGCGGGTGGCAGCCACTCGATGTGTCCCTTCACGTCGATGTTTCTCTCTCTCTCTCTCTCTCTCTTCCTCTCTCTCCCTCCCACTCTATCTGTACAAAAAATGGAAAAATATCCTCGGGTGAGGATAAAAAAAAAAAGAAACAGATCCAGAGTGACAGAGGGAAGAAGGAAGAAGAAAAGGAGATTTAAAAAAAAATGGGAAAAATTCTTACAACTCATTCAGAAAGAAGACAACCCAATAAGAAACGGGCAAAAAGAAGATATACTGGTTGGCCATTTTCAAAATTCAGTTAAATATACATTTAACACGCTACTCAGCAATCCTACTGACAAGTATTTAAAAGAAATGAAAACATATGACTACATAAGGACTTGCCCATGAATGTTCATGGCAGCTCTATTCATTTTAGCCCTAAACTGGAAACAACCCAACTGCCAATCAACTGGTGGATGAATACAAAAATTGTAGTCTAACGACAGTGGTACAGCCCTCAGCAGTACATGCAAGGACCAACATGAATCTGAACACCATCCTAAGGAAAAGGAGCAGGCCACACACCACTATATGTTCTATGATGCCATTTATGCAACATTCCTAAGAAAAGCCAGAACTATAGGGACAGAAAACAGAGGAAAGATTGCTAAGAGCCAGGGGTGGGGGGAAAGGATTGCAAAGGCAAAAAACAAAACAGCCAAGGCCAGTTTGGATCAGCAGTTGGAGCATTGGTCTGTGGACCAGAGAGTCCCGGGTTTGGTTCCCGCTAGTGGCATGTACAAAAAAAAAACAAAAATGGAATGTATGAATGCAGGGATGAATGCATGATGGAAGTGATAGGAGAGTGATAGAGAGGAAGGTAAATGAAGGCAGAGAAGGAAAACTGGCAGGGAAGGAGGGAGACAGAATAGGAAATGAAGGCCTTGTTGGGAAATAGAGACAACCATACAGAGGGCCAGCTTTTGAGGAGGCAAGTCTGTCCCTTAGCCTCTGGGTTCAAAGACAGAGGGCCAGCCCTCCTGAGTGACAGCCTGGTGAAGGGTTCCCTGGGGTCAACTTTGACCTCAGGTCTCTGTGCCGCAAGAGGTTTGAGGACAGATGTGAGGTCCTCCAGCAACTGCTACTTCCTGGTACAGGGTTTGGGGACCTGCACAGGATTAGGGGGTGGGTGTGTATTTGAGGGTGGGTATTTCTGCTGCAATCTAAAAACATTTTTCTTCCTTTTGAAGGAAATGACTAACTTAAAAGAAGTCTTTATCAGAAACAGAAGAATCCACAGCTGTGTGGCCTGTGGGTGTTTTCGGGTCTTGAGGTGTCAAGTGAGGGAGGAAGGTGCCATGGAGCCTGGCACAGAGCGGTAACGACATTCCGCTGGCTCGGGCGCCTCTCCCGGCCGCCGCACAGGCGCAAAGAGGCGGCTTCCCCAGAATCGGGAGAGGAGGTCTAGCTTTGCGCTCAGGCATGTGGCTCTAGCATTTGCCAGGATGTGTGATCTTGGGCAAGTGATGGAATTCTGGGGATCCTCCATTCACTCACCTGTACAGTGGGGCGGTAATGGTATCTTGCACAGAGTTGTTATCAGGATGAAATAGCACAACCCATGTAAATTGTTTAGCATATTGTAAGTGCTCAATGGATATTACTTATTCAGGTCTGCAAAGAGATCAGCGGCTGCATAGAGCGTGGGGGTGGGGTAGATGGAGCGCCTGTTTTTCTGCAAAAGCTCTGCAAAGTCTTGAAATGACAGCAGGACCCAGAGTGTAGTGGGGGATGGGAACAAGCAAGCAACCCTACTTCTCCCTTCTGGAGGAACACAGGCTTTCTAGGACTCCAGCTCTTCCCGGCCCTGACTGTGGCCCGCAGCTCCAGGGCTCATGTCTTGGTGGACAGGGGGGTGACCGTCTTCCTCAGCAG